TTAATCCGATTAATCGTCAGATAGAATCGTTAGTTGCGTTCTTAGCTCTATGCAGTGCAACTTAGTGGTGGTAGTAACGTCCTGTGGAGTTCCTTTTTTTTTTAATACAAAACATGGGGTTTTGCTTAAAAAAAGAAAGAAGAATGATGACTCTTAAAGATTTTTATACCTTTAAAAGTACAAAAACTCCTAAAGTTTTTATACTGTAAGAGTTTTATACTTTAACCTTCAGTTTTGACTGAAGACCTTCAGGTTTCTGATTTTTCAGTTTTACAAGGTAGATGGGTCAAATACTGACATGTCAGGAAGTTTATTGTTTCCAAATTGCACACACACACACACACACACACACACACACACACACACACACACACACACAAATACAACATAGAAGGTTTTCTTAACCCCTTAACATGCAGCGGAACGCCCGCTTGCCGTTTTCCAGCGGTAAAGGTTTTAATACTCTCCTCGTAATTAATCCGACATGTTATAGATGTAAATATGGGGACGTTCAGTATGTGGTTAATCAGCTGACCCTGCTCCATACCCAGAGTAGGTTCTCAGTCATAGATGGGGGAAAGCACTTTAACATGAATATAGATAAACACTTGCCAGAGAGGCGTTTGCAATCAATCAAGAAGCTGCGGCTCCTTACTCCACTTGACCAAACATGGTCACGTATGAAAAGGTCCCCGACCAGGGTAGGAATGCCTCTCGGTTCATGAGCCGCAGTGATGGCCTTTTATGCGGTGTGTTTGGTTTGTGTACAGGTTGTTGCCTCGTTGTTTCGCAGCGCAGGTAAAGTTAGAAAAGGAAGGATACCTTGCCCCTTCGGTGAGCATGAGAAGACGCTTAGACTGTTCAGGTCTTCCTGTTTGCACACTCCAGTGCGTTTTTGTCTTAATGTATAAAATTACAGGAGTATTTCTCAACAGTTTTTTTTTTTTTTTGCGAAGGGTGGGGGAGGGGGCAGTTTCTCTCCTTCCTCATGACACAACTATGCAAAATAGATTTGAAAAAAAAAATAATAATAATAATAATTGGAAGACAGTACTGAAAACCGGCAGGCAGCCCGAAATTTTAAAGTTAGCTATGATTCTCCCCACGACAGTGGGCCGAGTGGAAACAAACGGTGGCGGCACGCTTGGCCTCCTTTTATGGAAGCACACAGGCAGTCAGCTGGAGAGTCCCCATCTTGGTGATACACAAACGAGAACGAGAGAGCGACGTTTACTTTAGGAAATACCTGCTGCTGTGAGAAGTAATGCAACCTGAAAATAACTCGTCTCTGTTCTTACCAGGAATCGGTTTCCCCTAAAAAAAAAAAAAAAAGCCGCTGTTTGGCTTCATGTTGTGCGCAGTCGGACTAACAGCGGCTGACAAAAGCTGGTTTAATATTAATGGGAATTTAAAGTACATGATTTTAACAATCCACCATGATTTCTTTAATGGTGGATTTGTGAAGTATGAACCACCTCCCGTGGTTTGCTACTGTCTAAATCCACTTCCTCTCCCATTTAGAGGGTCCAGTCAGTACAGCCAAAGAGAAACCAGCCCGTCAATCCGCTCAGTGTCACCGGGTTCAATGTAGCAGGATGAATGAAACCTGCTCTCAATGACTGAGAACACCTGTTGCATCCAATTAACTGCCAGTAGGGGGCGCTGTGGGTGGAAAGAGAATTCTCCTTCACCTGAATCTTCATGCTCTGACATGGCTGCATTTCAGTGTGTGATGCTGCTGAAATGTGGAACACACCGTGTTGGGATTGGTGTGTTCCTGGGTGAGATGCAGTGTTGGATTTCTGTCAAACATTGCATTTTGTATGCGGGTCAAAATGTGCCTAAGCAGCTGGTGGTGAACAGCAAATAAAACGTTTGATGTTTTTACATGCACACAAATGGCTCTCATCTTGACTATTCAATAGAAGCTAAAGTTGTTAACAGTTAGTAATTGGTTAATTAATAATTGGTTATTCCCCCTGAACTCTTGACTGCTTTTCTTTTATTGCTCTCTGCTGGTCCTGTTAATCAAGATAGACTACAAGGTTTTTGTAGGTTTGGATTGTGCCACGTTTTTCTAATTTCAGGTGAAGGACTGTTGATGTCTAAATTACTCAGAGGTGAACTCTGTGTACACAATGCACAGAGTTCACTTTATGTGGTTAGACTACAGAGTATTACAAATACATGCCATACTATTCAGATGTTGCTGCTGTTGGGCCAAAACCTTAAAATCTCAATGTTGGGGTTTTGTTTTATTAAAAAAAAAAAAAAATGAAATCTTGCTCAGCTTCTGTTAGTGGTTGTATGAATGCATTTAACTTTGACCAAATGGTATGAATTTACATTTCAAGAGGAGTGAGACGTGTTTTTCATTTCTTTATAAATTACATTTTCGGAGATACAACATTTCAGTCGGACAGCACTGATTTGTATTTGCGACGCGTTGTGACAACCACGTATCCGTTTCCATCCACTTCGCTGTCAAACACTACTTTGTATTGATCTATTGCACAGAACTCCAGTGACACACATGGACACTGTGAGAAAGTTCAAAAAGTGTACTTTTACTACTTTTGGGAGGATCACTAAAACAGCCGCCGACCGTTATGCACACGCGCAGCCGTTTACATTTTCACACAATCCGGCTTCAGCGATCACCAGGAGCGAGAGAGCCGGCTCTGGAGGTCCAAACACAGTTTCAGTCCCAACTGAGACCATCTAAGGAATAGAAGTCAGACCAGACTTGGCATGTCCACCTCTGAGTGTCCACAGCCACACATCTGCTCAGTGTATGAGAAACAGATTTTAAAAACAAATGATGGTCCTGACTCCCGTTTTGGACAGAGCAGATACCCGTGCTAACAAGTCAGATCTGGAGGGGGTGTCGGGGACGACATGTTGACTTTTGCAGCTTTTGCAAATGAGAAATTATGTTGCCACTACTTTTGGTTTTTTTATGTTCAGAGTTTCACACATTTAATGCTGTTAAAATTATTCCTTATAAATTATATATCACACACATTTTTTTTTTTTTTTTTTTTAACCCAAGTCAACTTTTCAAGCTTTTGATTTCTCAAAGTGAACTTAATCCAGTAACATTTTTTTAATAGGTTTCATCTGAACACGGTAAGATACTTTATGCTTCAATGCAATGCTTTTTTTGACACAAGCAAAACAAATATTCCTCACACATCTCATGTCTTCCTGTCGATGTCGTCGATATATCTCCACGTCATTATCTAAAGTGAGAATTAGCTCTGCGTAGTTCATGTAAAAACACTCCTTATGCGGGATGTTTATGAATGGCTAAGTTGTACATTTCAAAATAAACTTTTGCTGCTTTGAGATGGACAAAAAAGTTCCTCGAGCTCATTAGACGCAACAGTTTATCTAAATAACTGATCCACTTTGAGGTCGTCTGTCATTCGTCACGTTGACCAGTCAGGTTCTGACCTCTGTCCTCAGAAACAGGCACAGAAGCTGAAAACCTTTTCTGACTGAAAGCATTATATTTTTTTAACTATAGTAAATGCAAAAGCTACTATTCGCACAGAACACACTAGTGCACCAAATGTAACAGTCAAACTTACCAGGGTGCAGACGAAGCGATTGGTCCTGCTGGATATCCGCAGATGAGGACCAGCTGGAGGGTTTATAAGCAGGACATAAGGTGCTGAGCTCCGCCTGCTGAAGCTGCGGTTGTTTACGTATTGAATATGGCAGGTGTTATTTGTACAGGCATAAATCCGAGGTTTTGTGGATGCATTTGTCGTGAATTCATTAAACATGAATGTCTCCTGAGTGTCTTTTGTCAAGATACAAGCAAAAAAATAAATAAATAAAAAAAAAAAACGTAACTGTATTTATTTTAGTTGTATGTAGTTGAAGTGAAGAGAAAATGATGATTTGTTTATAAGTCTTCAAACTGTGGCTCACATTTGTAATTTGGCAATTTGGACTGATGCCACAAAATACAAGCCAGTGTGTTTCGTTGCTTTCAATCATTAAGTCTGTTAACCTGAGGACAGATCTGGACTTTATGGGAGAGACCGTAACAGACCTGGAGCCTGTGCAGGGTGTAACCCGGATGTCGACAATGGATGGAGTGGCAAGAAGAGAGCATAAAGAGGAGACAGAGACGGGTAAAAGTAAACGATTTGATAAAAAAAAAATAATAAAAAAAACTCCACAATTGGAATGTTTTGACTTGGAAGCAAAATGCTGGATGCTGCTCTACACCTCAAACTCCTCATGGTATCAAAGCTGAGGAGAGGATAGGTGTAGCTAAATAATGCATAATCCATAAAGAAAGTTGTTTGACGGTGCAAAGACTTGAGACAGGAGCAGAGGCTCACTTTCCAGAGCCAGAGCTGCAGAGAAGCGGCTTAGATTGAAGAATATTTACGTCGTGCAAAGGCCAATTAATAATTATTCACTACTTTGTATTTCCCTGTTATGTAAGATCCCTATGAAATACAGTCAATTTTGTATTTTAGTAATGCCACTGAATTGTCCAGATGTAAAAGGTTACTCTTCACATAATAACTCTTGTCACATTCGTTGTTCCAAACGTCAAACCTGTCGCATCACTTTGCATCCAAAAAGATGGAGTTTTCTGGGACACTCCCAGTTAAACTGTCCATTCACTCGTTTTACTGTTGGTTTAATTTCTTTTTTTTTTGTCTTTTTTAAGTTGACAGACATATAAAGAATCAGCCTGTGAAGACTTCCTTTGTGCGTCGGAAAACCTGGTCTGTTTGCACGGAAATGATTGCACTGGTCTGGGTTCATGTGTTGTGTCCCACGGCTGTTTATTGCCTCCAGGCTTCCGTAAGCGACCAGAATCCAACAAACGAACGACACAAACGATCAAATCGTTTTCTGATCCGTTTCCAATATAATTTGCCTCACCAGAAATTAAATATACTCCTGACGTGACAAAGCTCAGCAAAAAACATAAAAAAAAGAAATAAAAAAAAACACAAATATACACGAACAAAAATTAGAACTTTCATATTACATGGGAATCGTTCATCCAGTAACATCTGTAGGATTAAAATTAGCTGAAACTACAAACATCAGTGCTGTCGACACTCAAGTATTTGCACATCCATGACTCGCCTGTTTCCTTCTTGCGGCAAAGTAGTTCAGGGGAACAAAGTAACAGTGAAACAACATGAAAATACAGGTATTGCACAAATTACATCCACAAACAAGAGATATGAGACAGCATAAAATAAACAGAGTTCTGCTTTATGACAATGAGTATACACACTTTGTACCGTCACTCATACTTTTGACTTGAAAACTATTTAAAAAAAAAAAAAAAAAACCTTAACGATGCTTACATTAACCAATTATTATATTTGCACAAAATAAGACTTACTTTTCTCAATTGGCACATTCAGCAAGGTAACTTAAATTTGAAAACCTCCTTACTAAAAATGCAGATCACAACCAGTTCATACCAATGTATTAATGAAAAAAAAACAAAAAAACAATCCACATTTTTGTTCTGTACCAGAAGTAATCACAGTGTATAAACCACTGTGCAATTCAAATGTATGATTATTTCATACAAATGTGGCATTGTAATGGCATATTTTAACAATATATTGAGCGTCATTTAATAAATAGGCAGACTATCTGCAGCTCTGCAACAGAAAGCAGGTTAAATACCAAAAACACAGGTTTAAAAAGAAGAAACGAGTCCTAATGTAACAGCAACAAACACTTTAAAAGACTAATATGAGCTTTCACTGATTTTTTTTCTTCTTCTCTTCATTACTCTCTGTAGAAAAGTATAAGTAAATAAATTAAGGTCTACAAATAGATAAGACAAGGAGCAGAGTTTTACCCTCAACATTTACACACAAAACACAGTCCAGTAGCTTGCTAAGACATTTAGAGTACACATTGATTTACCGATCTCCAACATTTCCAGTGTATCCTGCTTAAACCAACAATCACACATTGTTGCAAGTGTAACATTGACACCTAGGAGCCTCACAACTGCAATGAGTTGTTGTTGTTGTTGTTGTTATTGGCTAATTTTGCAATACAGAATAATTCAAGTCTGTTTAAGATTGTAGCTTTTCGCCGGATGTAATAATCCAGGCAGTAGGCGGTAAAGGCGGCGCGCGTGTGTGTGTGTGTGTGTGTGTGTGTGTGTGCATGTGGTCAAGTGGCTTGTTTAGCCTTGCCCTGGTCCTCCACCTTTTTAATGGCGGCCTGAATCTTGGCCTGGTCTCCCAGCAGCTGGCGAGGCTTCACTGGTTTGAGGTTCTCGTCCAGCTCTAGCTGCACAGGCACCCCAGTGGGTAGAGTCACGCTGGCGATGTCTTCGTCCGAAACACCTGTTGAACAGAAGTCAAATTAATTGAAATGATTCATGTAGTAAATCGTTGTCGGTTCGCAGTTAATCTATTACAATGTTTCTTCATCAACTACGGTCAAAGTTACGTTGCACACAAACTAACGACCATTTTAGTAAGTTGACAGTTGAAAGTAAAAATTTAATTTTTTTACTTTCCCATGTTGATAAAGCTTACCCTATAGGAGTCATGTAGCTTACCAACTGTGTTCGACTCACTTTATATTCTTGTACACAAGTTAAAACTCAATTGTGAAGTTACCTTGAGATGACCTTTTTGTTGAGTATCAGAATAAAAATAACAAGCTAAACTGAGTCAAACTGAATAGTTTTATGTAATATTAATAAGTTTTTGTCAAACAGCCCTCCCCCTACACACTGACAGCACGACTGCAGTGGGCAGGTGAACTCTTATGTAGGTGGAAAAGTCCCCCGTTCCCATGGAGACGGTGGTTGAAAACAGATCAAGAGACTCATCACTTACAGAATGAACTGGAATAAATGCGGTAGCAATAACAGGTTGGGGGAGCTTCTTATTTTCATAAACCCGTCTAAAGTGGGAGGTGGAGGCGTCTCCTGTGCCTTGAGAAAAATAATTACACTCCTTTTTACTTCCTCTGACATTTTGTCACATTTCAACCAGAAACCTCTTCATGGTCGTTTCTGGTCCATGAAACCAGAAACGTCCAGGAACGTTTCTGGTGCAGGTGCAGCTTTGTTTTGACCAAAACAACATTTGAAATGCAAACGATCAGATGAGCTCAAACTTGAACTTTTTGGTTTGCGTTGAGAGTAATCCAACAATGCACATCTCCCTAAACACCCGATCTCTAGCGTGACACGTGGTAGTGGCAGTATTATGCTGTGGGAATACTTCAGCCAGGGGGAAGAAGCTACCCCGGGACAATCCTGGAAGACAACCAGTTAGAGGCTGCACAGGAAAACATGACAAAAAAAAAGTACATTTTGCACAATACGTAGAATCTCCTCATATCCATTTGCATGCGTTCAATTAATATTCTTGCTTACTAATAATGCTAAATATTTTTGGAAAGGTGAGGTCCTGTAAAAATTCATGATGATTACGAATATTGAAGCTGATGAATGAGACATGGCCCCCTTTCAGACCCTGATGCTTGCAAGTGTAGTAAAAGGTCAGCATGGATTTCATATTACACTTAAATGTAACATAAACTTCCTGACCTTTCTGGAAAAGTTCAAGCTTCCATTTTTGGACCTGAAATATTTTATGTACTTCCTTGTTCAGTGACTCTGATGAGCAACAGTGATCTTTAAAGAAGATGATTTCACTACATCTGTATAAAGAAAAGAAAAAGTTCAACCCAGTGGCGTACTGCCTACCTTCCAAGTGTTTAAGGATGGCCCTGCAGCTGTTCCCGTGACCAGAAATGAGGATGGTCTTGCCTTTCTGGATCTCCGGGACCACGGTGCTGTTCCAGTACGGCAGCAGCCTGTCCAGAACCTCCTTCAGGCTCTCCGCTCGGGGGAGGTTCTCCTTCGGCACGTCGCACGTGGCGTATCTGCGGTCGTTGTAGATCTCCGTATAGTAAGGGTGGGACTCATCAATCAGAGGCGGAGAGATGTTGTAGCTCCTTCTCCACTGCTTCACCTTTTGCTCGCCGTGCTGCAGAGCCATTTCTGCCCGGTTGAGTCCGATCAAGGCTCCGTAGTGGCGTTCGTTGAGCCGCCACGACTTGACGACGGGGACCCACTCCTGGCCCATGGTCTCCAACACCAGCCACGCCGTGTGGATGGAGCGGCTGAGCAGGGAGGTGAACACCAAGTCGAACTTGTATCCCTGCTCCTTGAGAAGCCTGCCGCAGTCCCGGGCTTCCTTCACCCCTTCCTCGCTCAGCTTCTGGTCGACCCAGCTGCAGAAGCGGTTCTCCTTGTTCCAGGCGCCCTCGCCATGCCTCAGCAGAACCAGTCTGTACTTAGACATCCGAAGAACTAGAAGCAGAGGAGTGATGCATATTACTTAATGGAAACGAAACAAAGCTGGGTGCGGCTGACAACTTTTTAAAAACAGACAGGGGGACATCCTGTGCTTCTAATTTTAAGTAGCCATTTTTTTAAAATTATTATTGTTACAACTACTGCACTTTATTTTTTGAAGTCCAGTAGTTCTTTCTATTTCTATTTCTAATGTCTACTTCTGCTTATTTGTTCTATTTCTATTTCTAATGTCTATTTCTGCTTATTTGCTGCCCTTCTAGGCCAGGTCACCCTTAAGAAAGAGGTCTTGAGATCTCAATGGCTTTTTATCTGGTTAAAGAAAGGTTTAAAAAATACTAATACAGGTGGGTGATCTCAATTTAACAGCAGTGAGAACTTCTTAGTCAATGCTAGACAAAAATAGAGACCTGCTGAAGGAGTCGACATTGCCTCATCAATTATCCTTATTGAGAAATAGGATCAAAACAACAGTATCGGTCTCATCCACAACATTACTGATGAATGGTGAAGCTAAAAGGATGGGTGAACACCGGCACAGTTAATGCTGCACAGCCGTTCAGTAAAGCAACAAGGCCGGTGTATGCATGTAATTTCTAATCTTTACCAGAAACAGTCGAATTGTATCAAATAAAATGCATCACCTTACCCCGGTGGAGTTAAAAAACCCCGACAGAAATGCCGTCGACACTCTCGTCAATGTTGACAAGAATCGCCAGGCCACAGCAACGTCCGCTCGGTGCGTTGGTGATTAATGTGGCGGCCGTCCAATCGGAGAGCTGCATCGCCCTTTGTGGGCGTTCCCTCCGGTGTCTATTATGCCCATATTAGGAGGGGGACAAACGGTTCAGGCAAGCTCGCGGTAGGGGAAGGAGAACAGAGAGCAAGAGGAAGAGGGGTTCGCAGCTCCCGCACTGTGAACATGTTTGTTTTTGTTTCCATGAGTTAGAGTGGTACTGCGTTTCTGTAAAGATATTTACAACATTGTTTGTAGAAGTAGGAGTACAGTACATCTATTATTATAATCATGTCAGTACTAGTAGCGGACATGGGCGGTTCTAGCGATAATGGCGCCCTAGGCGAGACTATCCTAACAAGGAAGAAAAGCCAATGTATTCAACATGCAGACTCCGACTTCAGAAAAATGTAGGCTGGGGGAGGAGAAAAAGAGCTTTTACTTTAATATAAACACATGAACAAACATTTAGCCTTTCAAATAAAATAGCCATGTTTGTTAATGCGCAAAACAATGACATGTAGAAAAGGCTGAAAAATTATGCTCAGATTCGCATAAGCATTAGTTCAGAAGTTGCAGAAATCTAAAATGTTTCCAATTTCTGAACTTTTTTTTTCATCTGTTAAATCAATCTTTCGACAAGTTCTGAAAAAATATATTTATGAATTTTGTGACACCTGCCATCCTGTCTCAGGTGTACCATGCCTCTTCCTTGAGGACCGCTGGGGGATGGGCACCATCTGGAGGGAGGTTGTTCTTCAGCAGGGACAAGGGAGCTGATCAAAGTTGCAATAAAATGGCTTAAAGTAAATATTTAATTCCAATTTAATTTAATTGAGAGCAACTTGTCACACGTCAGAGAATTCTTAAAAGACCTTGGAATAGCCCTTTGAATTTTGTCCTGAACTAAAAGTTGCTAACAAGACACCAGCGAACATGTCACTTGCCAACTTAACCCTTTAGCCTACAGCAATTTTTCTTGCAGTGCTTATTAGCCACGTCACTGGAAGACAGCCACATTTCCTCTAAAAATGCAAAATCATTGACAGCAATGCGAAATGAGACTTTTTACACATTAGTGGAATAGGCTTCAAGCAAACTTCTACAGATTACAGTGTAACAAAGCAGACAAAGCCAGAAATAAGGATGTGATTTATTAAGATTTTTGCAGAGAGCAAAAAAAGGAAAAAAAAAAAAGAAAACTGGTTTTCCTACAACAATGTTGGACATATTTTTATAAAACAGTTCTAATGTGTGAATTAAAGCATTTTTATGTAAGACTCCTTGAAAATACAGCGAAGGTACTACAAGTATATTTGAGGATATACTGATATTTTGTAAGTAAGAGTTCTCAGTAAAAGCAATAGCATGTTGATTATGTTTCACATGTACTTTTAGACATAAATCATAAGACTGGTTTATCTCAAAAATGCACAATCGTTTTCCATATAATTTCAAGGGTAAGCACCTCAGTGGTTAAACGTGATCAGCCATTCTTGCACAGCCTTAACTGTTATAAAAATAAATAAGCACTGTCCTTTCAGTCCCAACCAAAAAGAAAGAGAATAAGATTTTTAGGACAATCTTAAGACTGTTTTAAATTTATAGATGACTTCTTCTTTATGAAGTCAATGATGATGAAGACGACAATGAAGAGATGGGGTGAAATAATGAGATAAAATTACTTAAATGGAGCAGAGACAGATGATACATTCATGTGTATTCAACAAAAATGATCCCAAAGTTTTCATTGTCATCTTTGTCACTTACAAACCCAAACAGTTTCAGTGTTTACACTTTTCTTAATTTACATTAAAGTGACTGACATCCATCACAAATCTACTGGGCAGCATCAAACAGCTTCTTTCTCCCCTCCATCCCAGACATGGCGTCCACGTTCTTACGCCAGTCAGTGACTTCTTCTTTCTGTGGCATCAGAGCAGAACATTTGAATCGGTTCACCCTGATTAAACACTTGAGATGATTTTAAGGTCGGTGAGATGTGGACGGTTGCTTGCTTAACGTTGCGGCATTAGATACCATTTTTTTATTCAATTCTGTATGCATTTAATGAAAAATGCATACAGTCTAAGAGACTTAAATGAACATTCGACCTAACATGCACGTCTACATCCTGCACTCTTACCTTTTCCTCCTCTTTCTTCACGGTCTTGAGGTTGGCCTTGAAGTCCACTGACTCTTTTACCTTTGCCCCCAGCAGGGCTCCCAGCATGGCTCCTGCAGACACCCTCACCTTCCTCAGGTTCGGTCTCTTCATCTTGCCCTTCAGCTCAAAGACCTTTTGAGACAAGTTCTGTATCTTTGTGGAAGACAAACCACAAACCCGTCCTTACAATTAAACACAAGGTTTTAAATTTCCGCTGTGCGTAGATCGCATGTCTCTCTTATAGATGTGTGATTCTGGAGAAAGAAAGTTGTCTCTAGGAAGCGTGTTCAAAATGAATTGTTGCTTCGGAGCCTTGGTGACACCATGATGTCCCTGTTTGTTGTGGTTCCGTAATGGCAATGCTCTGGAGATTTTTTTTTTCCTTCTTTTTCTTGTTGCTATTTTCTGATTTCTGAAGGTTAATGAACAAGTTAATAGGTCTCTTTGTCACATTATGTTTTATGTCCCAGGAAATGGATTATGATGTAAAAATTCAGGTATTCTGATAAAATCAAAAATGCATTGTCCAAATTAAGAAAACGCTTGAGTTGCATTTATTGAACAACAATCATTTAGAATGTGAGTAAATGTGGCAGGGATAGTTTTATTAATTTATAACAATTATTTTCCTTTTTTTTTTCTTTCTTTTACAAAAATGAATAAATAGAAATATGTTAGATCTTTTGCTTCTTCAATAGAAGATGGAATTATTTCAAAGCTTTTTGCACGTCTTCACCAGAATGCCCAATAAACGTGGATGTTGCCGTATTCACTGGAATCCCTCACCTCTTTCTCATTTATTGCCACTTTGCTAGCAATGTCGTAGCGCTCTTCGTCGACCTTGTCAATTTTTTGGTGGATCTCTTTGCAAAGATTCTGTGGACAGAAACATTTTTGTTTAACAGGCTTATTGAAGGACTCTAGGCTTAGAGAACATAAGTTAGCTAACAACAAAATAAAGATTAAAGATGTGGAAGCTAACGAGAGTTGATGTGAACAAATGGAGCTAAATACTGGAGCAAAGCTTCTTAGCAGATGCAAAAGATTTGAATTTGATTCAAATCTTTTGCCTGAGGTTTACCCGACTATCAGGACAATGATAATTAGCTGACAGCTAGATCTGCAATAAAATGACTCAGATCAAAACATCTTCATATGTCAGAGTGGCCCAGTCAAAGTCCAGACATAAGACGTGTTTTACTTCGCCAATTATACACTTTTGTTTTTTCGACCTGTCGCATTGCATACTAATGAAAAGTATTATAAAATGCAGTTGTATAGGAACAATATGTAAGAAGGTTAAAGAATGATGAGAACAATTTATGTTCCGACTTCTATTATATAATAAACTGAAACTATTTTGTGTTTATTTAGAAAATAATGTATCAAATAAACTTAGGTTTAAAGATTTTATTATTTCTCGATGATAAATATTTTTCTCTCCTGGAGTTTTTAAAATAACATTTTTTCAATGACTTGGAGGGTAACCCACATTTTAATCATCTATCCAAATAAAACCCATAACTTTGAAGTTTGATGACCAGATATTAAATATGTAAGACGAAAATAGATTTGGAGCAACTGATCTATTTAAAAAATTGGCAAGCTGGAATGCATGCAATTTTTCTCTACATCTTCAACCTTCAAAATCATAATACACGAAATCAAGGGTTATAGGTGTACCTGTAGTTCCTGCATGGAAAGGCCTGACAGCTGGAGGGTTGGGTGTCTTTCATCAAGGATCCTCTGTTTATCAGCTATTCTGGCTTGCTTTTCACTCTCCAGCATAGTCATTGCCTTCTTTAACAGTTTGGTCTGGAAATAAAAAAACAACAACAACAAAAACATACAGAGAAAAACATACTATTTAATGGTTGTGGATACACTTTGGCAAAGTTGGACATTATTTATACAGGGCATACCTTCAAGAACAATCTGCGGGATGCAGAGATTTTTGGCTTAGGTTTCTGTAACAGAATGAAACAAGATTAAGTTTACATTTTTTGAGGTGTGCATCACTTTTTGCGTGCTTCTAAAAATCTCCGTACAGTGACGGTGGAAGCATTGTTAAAGCATAAAAGCTAAACATAAAGCAAACCATTTTCTTGGTATGATTGATTGGTGTCTATCTGGCTTGATGTACTTTCTTAATTCTCACAATGTATTTGTGGAGTTAAAGGCCCCAAGCTGTTACGATACATTGATTTTAGTTGCTGACATGCCTGTACATAAAGAAAAAAAAAAAAAAAAAAAATCAGCATAAACCCATAGAAACCATCTGGACTCACCGAAGGGCTGTTGAGGGGAACATTTGTGTCCATCGTGCAAAAAGCAAAAAAGAAAAACTGATTAATTGTTGTCAATAAGTGGTGAAGAATAGGATTTCTGGGGTTGAACTTACGTTCCAGACATGATAGAAGTCCTTACTTCCTCCTTGTTGTGTCTGTAAATCAGACAGATGGCGTAAAAAGCACTGGTAATTTTCTCCATATTGACTATAATCATTGGAAATTAGAAATGAACCTAAACATGAAGATCACTTAAAACTGCAATTAAAATGTGGATAAGTAAAAATAAGAAGACGTAAACTTTAATCTTCACCCTTTTTAGGGTAAAAATAGAGACATATGGAACAATATCTCTGCCACATCTACTTTAAAGATGTGTCTTTTGCCTGATACACTGTTTTGCCTTCTTGTAGTAAGAAGATTTTCTTACCTTTAAAAGTGAAGTTTCAATGCTCAGGAGTTCCCTTGTGTGTGTGACTCAAGGGGATGAAAGAGGGCAGATATATAGATTTCAGGGCTCATGTGAGTGGCTCACTGAAATAGACTCTCCATTCTTAGACTCCATCTCTCGTGCTTCACATGTATGAGGTGTGAAGTTCTTAGAAGTTCTGAGGAGGGTTCACCTGTGATGCTTCCTTGGTTTGTCTCAAGAGGAGCAGCTGAAATCTGATAGTGCAATTTACAGACACGCAAAAA